CATTTTATAAACACCCACCAAAATGTCTTCCAAAGTGGCTGCACCATTTTGCTTTCTCACCAGCAACGAATACGAGCGTCTGCTGGCTCCACATCCTTGCCAGCATTTGATGTTGTCAGTGTTCCGGAGTTTGGCCACTGCGGTCGGTGTGTAGCGGTACCTCATTGTTGTTTTCATTTGCATTTCCTTGGTGGTACGTGATGTGCAGCATCTTTTCATACGTTATTTGCCACCCTGCTCATCTTTGGTGAGGTGTTTATTATTATTTGTCCCCCCTCTTCTTTTTTGTTCCTCAAATGAACTTTTTAAAACAATTAGAACAGGGACTTCCCTGGTGGTTGCAGCGGTTAAGAATCCGCCTGCCAGTGCAGGGGACACGGGTTTGATTCCTGGTCCGGAAAGATCCCACATGCCACGGAGCAACTAATCCCGTGCGCCACAACTACTGAGCCTGCGCTCTAGAGCCCGTGAGCCACAACTAGTGAGCCCGCACACCTAGAGCCTGCGCTCCACAACAAGAGAAGCCTCCACAATGAGAAGCCTGTGCACCACACAGAAGAGTAGCCCCAGCTCGCCGCAACTAGAGAGAGCCCGTGTGCAGCAACGAAGACCCAACACAGCAAAAAATAAATAAATTAAAAAAAATTAGAACAGTTTTATATTTATAGAAAAATTGTCAAAATAATATGGAGTTCCCAGTATCCTGCATCTAGTTTCCCCTATTATTAACGTCTTACATTAGTTTAGCACATTTCTTACAACTCAAGACTCAGCCATAAAAAGAAACAAAATTGAGTTGTTTGTAGTGAGGTGGGTGGACCTAGTGTCTGTCATACTGAGTGAAGTAAGTCAGAAAGAGAAAAACAAATACCGTATGCTAACACATATATATGGAATCTAAAAAATGACAACAACAAAAAATGGTTCTGAAGAACCTAGGGACAGGACAGGAATAAAGGTGCAGACGTAGAGAATGGGCTTGAGGACACGGGGAGGGGGGAAGGGTAAGCTGGGACGAAGTGAGAGAGAGGCATGGACATATATACACTACCAAATGTAAAATAGATAGCTAGTGGGAAGCAGCCGCATAGCACAGGGAGATCAGCTCGGTGCTTTGTGACCACCTAGAGGGGTGGGATAGAGAGGGTGGGAGGGAGGGAGATGCAAGAGGGAGGGGATATGGGGATATATGTGTACGTATAGGTGATTCACTTTGTTATAAAGCAGAAACTAACACACCATTGTAAAGCAGTTATACTCCAATAAAGATGTTAAAAAAAAGAACCAGCAGTGGTATATTGTTATTGACTATAGTCTATATTTCGATTGCTTAGTGTTTAGCTAATGTCCTTTTTCTGCTCTAGGACCCCAGTCGGGATACAAATGACATCCAGTCCTCACACCCCCTTAGGCTCCTTTTGGCTGTGACAGTTTCTCAGACTTTGTTTTTTGTGGCCGTGGAAGCTTTGAGGAATCGTGGTCAGGTAGCTTGTAGAATGTCCCTCCGCTGGGATTTGTCTGATGTTTTTGTCAGGACTAGATTGAAGTTATGTGTTCTGGGAAGGAAGAACACTCGTTTAGAAATGACAGTCCCATCACATCATATTAAACGTACACAGAGTCAACATGACTTATCACCTGGTTAGAGGTTAAGGTTAATCACCTGGGTGAGGTCGCATTTGTCAGGTTTCTCCCCCGAACTTCCATCCCATGCTCTTTGGAAAGGTGTCACTGTGCACAGCTCACACCAAGCTGGGGTGTGACGCTCCAGCAATTTGAGAGCAGAGGATCTATGCCAGTTATTTGGAATTCTGCACGGGAGATTCGTCTGTGCTCTACCATTTAGTTATTTACTCAATCAGCCATTTTATTTACATCTTTATGGACTCACGCGTTCTTATTTTATACTTTGGATTATAAGCCAGTACAATTTTATTTTATTGCTCAAGTCATCCTAGATTTGGCCTTAGGGAGCTCTTTCTGTTGGATCCTGTGTCTTTTTGACAAAGTCCCATCAGCTTTAAAAAAAAAAAATCTTCCCTTATCTCACTTTAGGTGAGGATACCAGCATTTGTTTCCACGAAGGAGGGTTTCTTAACCTGTGGGGCACATCCGGGAACCCTCAGCACTGCAAATTTGTGGCCATTTTCTAAGGGAAGCACATAGCTTTCATCGTATTCTCAGCGGTATCTGTAGTGCTAAAAAAAGATGTAAAGAATCACTGCCCTAGGGTAAAGAGGAGAAATAACACAACGTACACATTTCGCACGCCTTGCTCTTTCCTCCCTCCGCGTGCTTTTGCTTTAGTTCACAGCCAGCAGGCAGCTCCCTCCTTGAGGTGACCTGGCTAGTGCCCTGCCACACTCAGGTCTGCGAAGACCTGTGACCATGGTTGCTGCACTTATAACTGGAAAAACAAAACGGTCCTTTGACTCAGATTCCTGGTTTAAGGGAGGATGTGAAGCCAGTATGCTCGCGCACACCAGCTTTGAAATGCAGCAGTGCTGTGTGGTCGCTAAAGGGTCAGGAAAATAAGTACACTCTGCAGTTAATGGAAAACTGAGCTTCCCTCTTTGGAAAGACATTTCTGGATTTTTCCTTTAGTGCTGGAAAACATTACATCATCCAGCTATACAGCCTGGTCCATTCCTTAGCATATTAGTCATGACATCAGTTCAAGTTTAGGTGAGTGAACAAAAGAGGCAGGCTGTAAAAAGGCTTTTGATATAAAAGACATTATTTTCTCTAGTCATTTGATGACTTTGCCTCAGTAGACTCAGCTATTGTCTTAAATTAATATCATATTTCCATGAAATCAGTCCTGTTGTGTAATAATATCATAATCCTTGATAGATTTACTGAAAGAAAACACAGTGGCCTCATCAGATGGATAAAACATTGGACTGAGATTCAGAATGTGAAATCTCTAATAACGAAATAGACATTGAGCATGGAACCTAATTAAAATCATTTAACTCTTCTTATTCCTGGTTATTTTGTGTAAATACTAGCCACTTTCCAAATTATAAGGTTGTGTATAGTAAAGTGCAAACACAGGAAAATGTGCTATATACAAATTGTTTCAGCTCTCTTGAAGAAAGTGATGTAGCTATCTAGGCTTTTAAAATATATTTTAACGTGTAGAGATGACTTTAATGTTATTTTAGGATTGACCAAGCTGAAAAAGAATGATTTCTATTTTTTTATTTAGGTAGGAAAAAAAATCCCTGAATTCATCCATGTGAATATGAATTACATGAGATTTCACTTAAATTTTAAAATGTCTTTGAATTTCTAATATAAAGAAAGGTGAAGTGTTGATTAAAGACTCATATCAGGTTACCTGCAGCAGAGACATGAAAGTATGTATTGACACAATGGTCAAAAAAGAAAAGAAATTGTTAATTGTCTTTATGTTGTCTGGTTCATTCTATTGCTTAGAAGAAATGTACTTGTGAAGGATTTTATATCGAGACATAATAATAGCAGTCCTTAATTGATCCAATTCAAGTGTAGTTTGTAATCCATCAGTTCCGTTTTCCTCCCTTGGATGAGAAAACTTGTAGATGGGTTTGGACACTAATTTGCATCTTAATATCTAATTTTTCCACATAACCTCATTCTCTTGAGAATGAAATGGAAAATGAATGAATGGGAAAATCTCATTACTGGTCCCCAAATCCTGGAGAATGAAATGGAAAAATCTCATGACTGGTCCCCAAATCCTGCAGCTAGGATATGGGAGCTGATAAGGTCTTGAGAAACATATCTACTTAATCTCCTGCACCTTTGGGGGGTTTAACTAATTGGTTTTCATTTTTTTTCTCCAATGTTTTGGATTCTTTCTGAGAGCTACTTGAAAAGGTTGTATCAACTCACAGTAGTTTTAGATTTTTTCATACGCTTCTTAATATCTGTCATATTTCACCTGTAGTGGTTGTATCTTATCAGCACATTGTACGATAACTAACACAGAAAAGAATTGCCTGATAGGTCAGAGCTGGGATTTTAAAACAAAGCCAAGCACATGACATTTTTTGCTTCCTATAATGTCACTTATGAAATTGACACTTTTACTGTATCGGTACAGAATAGACAATGCTGGATGCTCCAAGTGTAGTTTTAACCTTCCCTGTGATTTTCATGGATATTATTTTTGGACTGGGAAAATGATTATATGATGAGACTTTACAGGTGGTAAATGAATCCAAACCAACAGTAAAGAACAACAGTTTCCACTGGCTTCCAAGGAAGCGTTTACGTGCTCCCAAGCAACTACCAGTTTAGTCAAGATTCATTGTTCAAAGTTGATTAAAGTAGAAGAAATGGCAGTTTTTCTCTTTTTGATAGTTGACAGCAAATATGTGCATGTAAAAGAAAAGGCAGCGGTATCTTGGAGCTCTGTATTTTCCCCTTTTAATTGATCTGATATTTGAGGAACTGCCTTTACCAATCCCCGGTGTATTTTACTCCACGGGAGAGCATTCCTTGTGTGTTTCTTGGACAATATAATTTATGGGTCAGCATGATTGTTTTGTGAATTCTTGGACCCTCTGGCCTTATCATCCTGTAGTATTCACATACTCCTTTGCTTAGGTGGAAGGTTAATACTATATATATTATTCAAAACCTATTTTTTGCTCTTGTTTCCTTGTCTGCCATTCTTTTGTGCTTGTCGAGATTTTGACTGCATGTTGCTTCAGGACAAGTGAGAGGTCTGCTTAATTTTATTTAAAGAAAGTAACATGAAGTATTTAGGGCAGTGTTTCATGCATTTGGTAAAATTAAACGCTAAAATACTTCTTGTGTTTGTTTTTATTTTTTATGACAAATACCTTTTGGGATTCTGATAAGTCTACTACTTTTCACCTCTACTTGGAAAAGCCATGCTGCAAATTTATCTCAAAAAGCGAAGTCTTTTCTCCAATGAACATCACGCATTCCTGTTGCTTGCTATTCTAAATACTTACCAGGGCTTTGTTTTGCTTTTTCTCGTATAGGCAGCAGTCAGCCGAGGACCTTGCCCGAGTACCGGCCAACTCCACTAGCAATATCTTGAATAGGCTATTGGTCAGTTATGATCCCAGGATAAGACCAAATTTCAAAGGTTGGTCTCCCTCCACCCCAATATCTCCATTCTTTGCAGTTTAAAAACTAATTTTGTCTGTATAAGATCATTTATTTGTTTTATTCAAAAGAGTATATTGTAAATTGACATCTAACTGTCATGTAATGTGCTTAAGTCAGAGCAATTTAATGCAAAGATGTTTAAAGATAAGCAAAGCATTCGTTCTAATAGGCTTATGTAGTTCCCAGTTAAAAATAAAAAAGATATGTTGTGAATTAATAGGCTAACCGATCTGATGGGTTTTCTAAGTACTTTGTATTCTTAACCTTAATAATTTAAAATTTACGCTCTGACTTTCATTCAGACACCAAAGTTCTACTTTGTAGGAGAATGGCCATATACTCATTTGAGGATAGAGAATGCTCTGATAGACATTTAAATTCTTTTTTTTTAAATCTTTATTAGGTTTTTACATTGATTAAAAAAATTCCCTCTACTCTTTAGCTGAAAAAAAATGGCCATATGGTTTTTAAAAGCGTGTTAACTTTGTGAATAAAATGACTATGTATTCTTCAACAAAACGTTATCTCCTATCATTCCTTTCAAGAACTGTACTTGAGCTAAAAGTTGTGGGAAGATGGTACAGCTTCCCTCCCTCCCTCCCTCCCTCCCTCCCTCCCTTCCTTCCTTCCTTCCTTCCTTCCTTTCTTTCTTTCTTCCTCTCTCTCTTCCTTTCTTGCTTCCTCTTGATGAGTTAGGAAAAGTTATATGAACATATCTCTGGAAAACTGTCATCTTTGTTGCTGGTTAAGGACAGGTATTAATGTAGATCGGATTAACATTATAAGGCTTGATTATTTTTCCTTTACGGAAAAAAGAAAGAAAGAAGGAAGGAAGGAAGGAAGGAAGGATGGACGGAAAGAAAGAAAGAGAAAGAAAGAGAAAGAAAGAAAGAAAGAAAGAAAGAAAGAAAGAAAGAAAGAAGAAAGAAAGAAGAAAGAAAGAAAAAGAAAGAAAGAAAGAAAGAAAGAAGAAAGAAAGAAAAGAAAGAAAGAAAAGCTTGCAGCTGCTTCTAGTCAATTGAAGTTATACGACTCTGTTATAAAAACAGGGTTTTTGTCCGTTACCAGAACCTGCGGTTACTTTCAGCAGCACTGTGCCCTGGGTTGTCACATGTCTACCCTGTATTGATTCAACACCTGTTTTTCATCAGTCAGAGGTTATGTGGCTAAAAGGCTAAATTCACATTTTCCCTTTGTTAGCCCAAGCAGCAGTTCACAATGAGTAAAAAAAAAAAAAAAAGAAACAGAAAGAAATTGGCAACATTATACTTTAGTTCTCACTCCATGAACTTTAAAATTATTTTCCAGCAGGTCAGGCAAAAATCTTAATAATGATTCTGTTATATGTCTGATTAACTTTGCATTTTCATGAATTAAAAATCAAAATATAGCAATTGTAATTGAATTCTGCATTACCATTTAAGGTAACAATTTAAAATGATTATAAAATGCAAAAAAAAACACCATATTTTAAAAATGATGTTTTTTAAAGAATAATTTACAATCTCTTAAAGTAAACGCATCAGCCCAATTAAAAAAAAATTTAATGTAAATGTATTTTCCCAGAATTTCTACAATTTAAAAGAGAAATATTTCTGAATAAATAACGCTATAAAGTACAAGGTAACTCATTTTTTATTTGTGTGTTGATCCCTATTTAGAAAAATAAGTCAATAGCAACTGTGAACATGGTATCCTGAAACCATAGGTTTATAATTTTACTTCCATACGGATTGGAAAAAATAAAAAAATCAAATGCATAAACCATAAAAAATGAAGATTCTGACCAAGTTTTTTACAGCTACTAAATATATCCTTAATTTTTATTGACAGGCATTCCTGTTGATGTAGTTGTCAACATTTTTATCAACAGTTTTGGATCTATTCAAGAGACAACAATGGTAAGATTACAACCAATTTAATATTTTTAATTGAGAAGATTTTAACTGGAGCATAGTGGAAGAAATTATAACTGAAGAATAAGGAGTAACTCTCAGGGAAAAAAATGCAAGCTGTCTCCTAGTATAAAATATTCAAATTTCAGGGTTTTGTTGAATCAGTGATTTCAATGGCTTTGTGATTTTGCAATTCAAATTTAGTCTTTATATTGCATTGAAACTTACAGACTTGGGAGAATTAATGTACTCGCTCTGAACGACTAATTGGATACCACCTGGGAAAAGGATTTATGCAATTAATATTCTGGAGTGACATTTTTTTCCTAATATGCTTATGTGTAGAAGCATTCAAAAATATTTAAGTGTTCATAGTTTTTTTTTTTTTTTCCTTCCAATTTCCTGAGAAGAATCTTTGTTTTTTCTCTTGTGCTAATTTTGTGATGTGTGGAGCAGAGAATAGTAAAAAGCAAATTTGATTTTCCTGAACTAGAGCAGCGGAGCTCCCTGAAAAGATTATGCGACACAAAGAAAGGGCAAGGAGACAGCCAGGAAGAGAAAGGAGGGACAGAAAAGAGCGAAAGGAACAGAGAAGGGAGGCTTGAGGTGGGGCTGCCATCCAGGGTGAGTTGGGCGTTAGGGGCAAAGATGTCTGTGGAGGGTGATTAGTAGATGCCCTGAGCCATGTGTGATGCAATTACCCCTCAGCTTTTAGAAGACATTCGGTACAGTCCACTTGCTTATTAATGTTTTAACATATTAGATTTGTACCCTTTTTGAAAAACCACATGCAGAAATGATACTTTAGGTGGGAGAAAGAAAGCTTAATTTTTTTTTTTTTTTTGGTATCTTTTTTCTTGAGATACTTATATTTTTCTTAAGGAATAATATAAGGTTTGGATTAAAAGCCTAATAGCAATGGTTAGAACACAGTAGAGTTTTTCAGGGAATACCTCAGACCAGAGAAAGAATGATTTTAAATATGTTTTCCTTTATTCTTAGGAGCAGCATAGTATGTTACAAAAGCAATTGTATATTGCATTTAAATGATGACACCTATTTTTATATTAATTAATATAAGAATATAATATATTAATTGTGAGGAGAATGTTATTTATTTTTTATAGAACCATGTCTTTAGCCCTGAGTACTTGATTTTTTTTTAGACAGTGTGTAGATATTTTGGATAATTAAAGATTTTGAAATCAAGTCCAAAATTCACTTGCAGCGACTTTAGTTCACCTAAATGGCTGTATGTCTAATATAGTATAGATCACTAGAAGACAGCTCTGAAATAAAGGACAGACAACCATATATCACTCAGGAGACAAGGATAGCCCTCATCATTTGAAAATATGACTAGTTTATCTAAGCACTTCACTTAACAAGAGTGAGAAATTTCATTTTCTCAAGGTGAAACTTTCAGGAGATCTATTTGGTCTCTATACTCTTCCCTGTACCCTGTTTTATCTTTCATGGTACCGTTACGCTAATCCCAAAACACCACCATCGAGGTGTTTCAGCCTGTGGGAAACATTCCCAACTCTATCTTGCATTTTAGGACAACTAATGCAGGGGTGTTTTTTCTCATTTGCATAAAGGCTACATATGTGTCCCAACTCAGGCAGTACCGTTAATGTACCTGTTCTTTAATTAACATTGAATGCCTCCCAAATATCAGATGCTACACTTCCCTAGGTCCCATCAGTAGTTACTTAACTGTATCAAGCTGAAAACACGTGGGGGACAAAGAAAAGGGGTAAGAACTTTCTTACAGGCTATTTGAGGATTATAACAAAATACTGCGTAATTTCTCACATAATCTTCTCTTGTCCTCCTGCCTGCTCTTCACAGTAGCGAGCCCAAAAGCACCCGTTGCTGGGACCAGATCCCACCAGTTTTCTTTCAGCAGCGTCTTTGTCGCCGCTACTTGCCTCGAACCTCCATCTCTCGTCTGTAATCAGGGCCTCTTACTCTGAGCTACTCCCACTCACCCTGTGCCCCCTTTTCCATCCAGGTCTTTCAGCTCTGTCACGTTCGTTTGTTAAACCAGATCGCTTCTTGACTGTAATGCAAGTATTTTTGTGTCTTTTCCTTTTGACCTCTGATGGACTATTAACTCCTTAAGTCAGGAAGAATGTATTCAACTTCTTCATTTCCTGTAAAGTGAGGAGACAATAGGCCCTCAGTTAGTGAACACATAAATAATGTCATATTATTAACTAATACCGGTTAAATAAACGAACAAACAAATTCCGCTATTTGTCTAGCAAAAAGTGAGTCCACGTAGCCATAAAGAAATTGGCAAAGCAAATTTAAACAATAGACTCATGTTGAACATTTATTGGGTTAAAAAACAGAGCAGGGCTTCCCTGGTGGCGCCATGGTTGAGAGTCCGCCTGCCGATGCAGGGGACGCGGACGCGGGTTCGTGCCCCGGTCCGGGAAGATCCCACGTGCCGCGGAGCGGCTGGGCCCGTGAGCCATGGCCGCTGAGCCTGCGCGTCCGGAGCCTGTTGCTCCGCTATGGGAGAGGCCACAATAGTGAGAGGCCCACGTACCAAAAGAAAAAAAAAAAAAAAAAAAAGAGCAAATAATGTTATAATAGTAGAGGGTTAGTTTTAGAGACCTTTATGCAGAGGAACCAAATTATTTATATTTACTGTTTCTTTTGATGAAATAACCTGGCTTTCCCTTTGTGTTGTGAAGATACAGCCTAAAGGTTCAGAATTGGAACCATACTCATCAAATAGACTTAAATGTTCCATTTTATCATAAGTATTATTTTTTGCTTTTGCAGTGTTTATTTCATGCATACCTATAAGACAGAGTTTTATAGATGTGTGTTTTAAGCCTGTCATATTTTATAGATTTGCTCAGTCTTTCCAAAAACAGATGCCCTAATACCTGCTTAATAGTTAGGAAAGGTACAAGCTATTCTCGATATAGAGATAACATTAGGATGTCTTCTAAGGGAAAAAAGTGTTATCTAAGACAAGCTTGCTCTTCATTACTTGTTATAGACACCAGTCAGAAATAATAGTGATGACTCAGCAGGTTAACTAAGAGGGTCCACGTGTGGAGAGCAGTTATTTCTTTCTTTTTCCTTCCAATCACCCAGGGTGGGCTTATTTTTTTTCAGCTTCATTGAGGTATAACTGACAGATGAAATCCTAAGAAATTTAAAGTGTATGTGATGATTTGATATGCCTCTATATTGTGAAAGGATTTCCCCCATCAACTTAATTAGCATATCCACATTTATCTCTTTTTTTTTGATGAGAACATCTAAGTTCTATTCCTTTACCAAATTTCAATTACACAATTGTGTTACGGACTACAGTCACCATGTTACACATTAGATCCTCAGACCTTATTCATCTCACAACCTAAAGTTTGCACGTTTTACCAACTTCTCCCTATTTCCCATACCCTGAAATTCCTGGCAATCACTCTCCTACTCTCTGATTCTATGAATTCAACGTTGTTTTAAACTCGACATATAAGTGATACCACGGAGTAATTGTCCTTCTCTGTCTGGCTTATTTTACGTAGCATAATGGTCTCCAGGTTCATCCATATTATTGTAAATGACAGTATTTCCTTCTTTTTTAAGACTCAGTGATATTCCACGATATATGTTTATATATACCACATTTTCCTCATTCATTCCTCCATTGGTGGGCACTTTGGTTGTTTCCATGCCTTGACTATTGTAAATAATGCTGTAGTGAACATGGAAATACACGCATCGCTTCTAGATATCTTGTTTCCTTTGGGTATAGGCCCAGAGATGGGATTGCTGGATATGGTAGTTCTATTTTTAATTTCCTGAGGACTCTCCATACTGTTTTCCATAGAAGCTGTACCAGTTTGCATTCCCACTAATAGTGTACAATTGTTCCCCTTTCTCTACATTCTAACCAGAATTTATCTCTTGTCTTTTAAAAAAAATTTTATTGAAGTATATTTGATTTACAATGTTGTGTTAGATCTCTTGTCTTTTGGAAAATAGCCAGATAGCATATTTCTTAAAAACAAAAGAAAACAAACAAAAAGACGCCTCCAAAAAAAAGAGGTTGGAAAAGCAGAGAGCCTTAGATTTGTCTAAATATAAGATATATGTTCATAGAAACAGTATGATGAATAGTGTGTAAGTTGTGATATCAGACAGGCTTGTGCTGGAATCTGTTGTGTACTTGATGTGTTACACCCTAAAAAGAGTGAAAAGCCTATAGAAATAAAGCAACGGTGTTTTGCATGGCATAGTAACTCTTAGGAGTGGTTCACTCTTTGGTTGTCATGCATTTGCAAATTAACGTACTATCAGGATAGAATCTCATCCTAAAGAAAATGAACCATTTATGTTTGTTAGCAGCTTCACTGTACAGTTGTGGTTTTGTTTATGAATAGCCCCCTGGAAATTTCCCCTATAAAGATCTGCTGAAATAAAGGAAGCCCTAAAATTTGGAAGCTTCAGTGTTGCCCAGAGCTTTCCTCTGCAGCTCAGATCTTTCTACTTTAACCGGCAGTTGCTTACTCCAGAAAACATAATGTAGAACACAGAGCTTGGGATGGGCGTAGCGTGAGGAACTGCAGACAGAGGTGGGGCAACTTCTGAAGGAGGAGGGCAGCCCTTTCCTCCAGTGTATAAAGTTCATTACCAAACAAAGAAGCCATCGAGGTGGTGCACATTAACACTGCTGTAAGGACATGTTAGCCAATTCTGTTTGGAAAACATGCCTTCCTACTTATTTGTCTTCTAATTCAGAGACTATTTGTTTTTAACACCTTTATTGGAGTATAATTGCTTTACAGTGGTGTGTTGGTTTCTGCTTTATAACAAAGTGAGTCAGCTATAGATACACATATATCCCCATATCTCCTCCCTCTTGCGTCTCCCTCCCACATTCCCTATCCCACCCCTCTAGGTGGTCACAAAGCACCGAGCTGATCTCCCTGTGCTATGCAGCTGCTTCCCACTAGCTATGGATTTTACATTTGGTA